ACATTGGTTAGCTAACTGCTGAGCAATAATAATAAATTCAAATTTTACCCAGCGTACTTGAATATAATATTTATTTTTTTGGAGCAAATTGTATTAAAATCTTGCAAATTTTCTTCAGCACTGCATTTTAACAGCACATGTTAATTTATTAAAAGAAATAATTATCAAACCCAAATAAGATTTAAAAGTTTGAAATTGAATAGAATTTATAATAGTCTTTACTATTTGATAATCAAAGATGTAATAAGAAAAAACGTATGATGACTCATAGATTTACATAACCATGGTATTTTGCTTATTGCAAGGTTTATCCAAGGTGTCTATATTTTGAATACAACTTATTTTCCCAGCAATTCAATCGCTATTCCATAGAATTTTAGTTCATAACAAGCTAATACAAAGTGTTATATTTTCCATATTGGAAAATATACAAGCATTTCTTCCAATTTTCAACATAAATTAACCTTTCATTTTCTTGTAAATTTTATTTAGTGATACACACTAACATTGACCAATATTTTTAACACCATGTCAAACTAGATAGCAGTAATCTTTTTCTTGCGATATTTTAAATTTCATTATTTTAAGCATGGGCGCCCACAGAAAACTTTCGGGGGGGCAAAAAAATGGATTTACTTTCTGGGGGAGGGGGGGGGGGCAACAAATTTTAAGTAATGTTTTAATGTAGTTTTAATTTACTGTAGCCTATTTGTATGGTGAACGAACGGACAAGACATCAGCTTAGTTACTTTCTCTTTATTTTCTCTTTACTTTAATACATTTTTTGTCTATTTTTGTCTAAAAAAATTTTATCCAATCAATCCAGGGGCAGTTCCCCCTCCCCCCCCCCCACCCCTTTTTTTTTTCTTTTTTTTTAATAAGTTTTTTTTTTTTTTTTGGTCAAAAAAATTTTTTTCCACCAACCCGGGGGAGTGGCCCCCCCCCCCCCCCCCGCGGGCGCCCATGATTTTAAGTATGGTTGTATAAAAATTATATTTTGTGCTACATAACTGTAAACTAGTAAATGTCCAGGATATTATTTAAGATTTTTCTACTGCCCATCAAAAACAGTTTTAAATTTTTGAAAATTTTAATAAGGAAAAAGTGTTTTTCAAAGTTCTCTTAATGAAATAGTTTTCAGTCTGATTTTTGACACATTGTGCCAGAATAATTTCAATTGGTTCGGGTTTTATTAGTGCCGGTTCATGTAAATTTATGGATCGCCTCAAATTAGAAGTAAATTTTTTAGTACTCAAATCCCAATTCTTTTCTTCTTTACCTTTCACTGGAATAATTATTTTACCTCTCATATTAGATTGTGCCGATCTGTTCTTGTTGACATAAGGATTAAGAAAATTCCTTTTAATTGAAATCCTAGTATTTGTATTAAGATATTATTTTTGTTGATATTTTTATTTGCAATCTCAATAAGTTGCTCCTTACAATGTTCTCAATAAAAAGCATTTAATCCTATTTTCATCTCTTGAGGACAAGGATTTTTCATTCCTTATTTTTTTAGTGTTTGTGTATAAGTATAAGGAATTTGAATCTTTGTCTTCAAATGTGTGATATTAAACTAAACCTCACCTTAAATGGATCTCTTCAACTATGATGTTTATCAACTAACACTAAGCAATGTTATCATCTTTGGTGCCTAGACTAATTGTTTAATGACACATTCTTCAAAACCATAAGACTAATTTATAACAACTGTCACTTTACTTTTTCACTTTTGTTTTATAACATGTAGCCTGAAAACTTTCAGGGATACATTGTTAAGATGTTCTGTATTAATTATAATTTTTGAATCTCATCATTAATTTAGCATAAATATCATAGCATTATCAATTTTGGCTGCCTCTGTAATGTTACTCAGACCTTTTGTATTTTTGTGGTTGTGTGCATAGCTTGTATTATTTATTTATTTTCTTTTGAAAAACTACTTATGAAACTTATTTATATACAGAGCATTTATTGTAAAGCTTAGCATTTGTCATATTAAGTGGCCCTTTGCTAAATTTCTATACCTTCCATTTTTGTACCAGCTTGTCACATTGTTTTCAGAATTTTTTTATTTTTTTTAATAAATTGAAGAGACCTTATCTTGTACTGTTTTCTTCCCTTTGTTGTAATTTTATTTTATTTTAATTTGAGATTAAAACATTAAGTACATTATACATGTTTAAAATTAGGTATTATTTATTTCTATTATTAGTCCTTAAAATATTCTAATGCTTTCTTTGGTTATTGAAATACAGCTGAGTAACTTTAACTAGCAAACAATTCAAAACACTTCCTTTTCCACGATTTCATACATTTCGCAATTGTTGATTATATTTTGTTTGATTAAAAATTTGCTGTTCAGTGAACTCTCTTTTATTTATTTTTTAAATGTATCAATCATAATATTACTTTTGAAACGCATTTGTTCACTGAATTTACAAAAACCAAATGTCTAACATAAATATAGTAACACAGAACTTGTTACACCTTGGCCTTACCTGCTTTGGTCCTCAACTTTGAAATAAAAAGCTATCAGCTTGGAATGGTTGGAGCCCTAGCTAGTTGCCCTGTACTGCTCTGGTTGGATGCCTAGCTAGTTGCACTGTATGCCGATTCAGGGCATTACTCCTCTTGGAGTTCGACAGATTTGGGAAGCTGGAATTTGAAACAGCTAGAGTTTAAATATCAGTGGTTCCACTTCTCATTAATTTGGTTTTGATTTTTATTCTAAATCAGCTTCGAAAATTAATGAATCACAAAACACAATGTTCTGTGAACAAAAAAAATAATATTAAATTGTTTTTTGATGTTAGCTTTTTGTTACATTTGTAGACTAATATGGTGTATGATTTTAATGGGTACTGGGAAATGGTAAGCAAAAAATTTGTTGGAAGGAACATTTTGTTGACAGAAGTTTTTTTGAATGGAAATTTGTTCAAGCAGAAGTTTTTTTCAAAATGAAATATGGGTAAAAAAAAAAAATAAGAATTTATTACAAATTTGAATTTTTCACACTTTTAAAAAAAGATCTTTCCCTTAAAAAAATTTTTAAAATAAATCCTATTTTAATAGATTCAATTTCGTAAAAGATTTTTGTTACGGTTTTTAATGACGATTGAGCCAAGTAGTAAATCTATTTGTTTAAACTTGATATTCTGAAATAAATATCTATTTAAATGACAATCAAAGATGGCCAGCTTTTGGGTTTAAAATAAAAGATAGAATATTTGTTTGTTATTGACCCCCAATTTTCACATAAGTTTTACTGCCTTTCACTCTTCATCCTATGTTCTCTCTCCCCTCTTTTATCTTAAAAATTTGTTTCTCTAAATATCTTTTTCATGTCATCAGTTTACATTCTATCCATGTACATTCCTTATATCCTTTAACTCATTTCAGAACTTAATTTTTCACCACAAATGAGTGACTAATTTTAATTAAATTAACAGTGACAGCTCATTAATTACTATATGTAAAAATTGATAAAAGGAACAGGCAAAGGGTGAGATTGAATTTTATATAAAGTCATTCTTCTTGAAGAGAATGTTAACATAAGAATATTTTAAAAGAAAAGAAAGAGTTGACTTGTGAAATGCATCTCAGAGGTTTGTCAATCTAAAGTATTGACCTAATTATTATAATTTGGGGAGAGATTTTTGGGACTAGAAAATTTAAAAAACCTATTTTCTAGTAAATTTGTTAAAAATATAGTACAAAAAAATCAACAAAAGCCAGAGAATAATATATAGTAAAAAGTATTCGGAGGGGTAGAGATTTTAACAGGGATTTGGAGAAGGGTCTTTTTGCCCAGAGCTGGAGCTGGTAAAATGTCTTACTTCTCCAAAAAAAAAAATAATTTATAATTGGAACTTTTTAATTTTTAAAATTATAATTGACCTTATTTTTATAACAACTATGTTGCCCAAACTCTTCTACCAGCTATTTTGCCCTACTCTTTTACAACTTAATTACCCCACTCTTCTTCTTCTTTGTCTTAAGGGCCCACCATCAATGTAATGATCATTCTGGCTCCTATTTTATGTAGTGGGGATTCGCGGTGTTTCTCTACCTGGTATTAAAGAGGCTATTTCACTGGTTGCAAAGGCCTATAAGGCAATAGATGCAAATGTGTCAAGTGTCAACTCATCTGCCTGCTGTTTTCCCACTCATTTACCATGTATGTTTGCCCCACTCTTCCACCTGCTATGCTATGCTGCCACACTCAACTACACAGCTAATTTGCTGGTACATGTTGGCCTACATTATTACTATTAATTAGTATACCTTTGCCTAGTTCATAAGATAGGTTATTGGCAATAACACCCAAAATTGTTTAAACATTTTGCACACTCTCCTTCTCCCTTTTTAATTTTGCTGGAGTGGAGTGGACACAAATTTGTATGGAGTGAAGCCCTCCCACCTCCCCCCAAAAGCACACTCCAAATACCTGGGACAATTGACAGCAGCGTTTGAAATCGAATTATGCAATGTATGCTCCCTTACAAATATATACATCCGGTCTTTAAATAATTGTTGTTAGGCACGCTTAACATCGACAGTAATTATTAACTATATTGAATATTAGAGCATAGTATATTGTACAGTTTTCATGGGAATAAACATTTTAAATTAGATTTTCTTTATTAACTAAACTATATATGTTTAATTTATGCATAGTGTTTGTGTATTTATCTAACAAATAAATGTTGACATTTAACTCGCGTTGCTAAGTGTGCCAAGCTAAAGCAAGGGCGATAAGTACCAGAAAATGAAACTATATTATTAAAGTAATAAAAAGTGATGGTCTTCTGTATTGAATTTAAAATATTAAGTGATATTTAAAAATTATATTCAAATATATAAATAATAAATAAACATATATTTATAATGCAAGTACTATAACTGATTTCGATTCGTGGCAAACAAAGAAGACGAAATCTTCTCGATGCCTGAGAAAAAAAAACACATACTGCCCAATGAAAACACAGACCCATGTCACGTGATAAAATTTTTGGTAGCTACCCTTTAACGTGATCAAAGGAATACCTAAACCACGACAATTTATTCCCATTTTTTGCATTTGTATTTATCAATAGTGTTGTTATTGTTATAGTTCTTTGAGCCGGAGTTGATCAAGGCATTATTCGATGTGAATAACTTATTAGAAACAAATGTTTATCCTGTTGAACAATAAGTATTCTTAGTGACAAGAGAGTGTCAGTGGCACAGAACATGTCTAATAATTCAGCTCCACAACGAGTACGGCGAAACGGGTCCCCATCTACCACCAAACAAGGCCCTATAAAAGCAGTGAAAGCATTCTCCCTTAAACATGGAACTCAGCATAAAACAGCGTCTTCCCCATCTCCAAGAGAAAGTCACCAAATCTGGTCTAGGAAATCTCCAGATAGTAGAGTTTCTCCTGAGAGAAAGAGTCCCGCAGGAACACCTGTTACTTGCATTTCATCTTTTTCTTGTATATCAACATCGATACACTCACAATTACCACAAAGCCCAAATAATTCAGTGCCATCTGTCAGCAAAGGTAAATGGTCATAGCTGATAAAAATTTATTTATTTTCATAAAAGTATGTGCCTATTCTTAACCGTAGGCTAATGGCATGGGTGACTAATTTTTATTTATTAAGTCAAATAAACGCAGGCACAGGTAAATTAACTTTCTTTAGTCAAAGTCTTTAGATTTAGTCAATTTATAATTTAGGTATAAAAATGGAGCAGAGAGGCTTAGCCTTGCTGTTGGCCTAAATATGAGTAGTGGCTTAGCCTTAGAGTTTAGTCCTGTGACAAAACTCTGAAAAGCCAAATGACTACTAGGACTAGGCCCACGATGAGTAATACTGACCCATATTATTATTATTATTATTGACCTTACTTGTATCATAACTTGTACTATACTACTTACCCAACTAGAAGGCGTGGAGAAGACCATGTTGTGTAGTCATATAGTAGTGAGTAGTGTGATGCCTTTTAACTTTTAGAGACATTTTTCAATCATTTCATATATTTAAACAAGAGAATTTTTAAATTTATACAGTTGTAAGGTGGTGGTAAGTATAAAATTCAACTTACTCCCTTTCAACACTGACAGTTAATAGCAATATTGTCTCTTCCTAGGCCTAAGATAATGCATTTTTATTATAATATCGCATACAATTGGGGGCAAAATGGTGAGATGGTTTTTTAATGTTATGGTTTTGGTTGGTGTGTCTTGAATTGGGAAAACAAGTATTGTAAATTGTATGTTTTTTATCTGGAACCAAAGTTAACAGAGAATATTTCTGTGATTGTGTTCTCTGTCGATGTTTGCTTCGTGATATTCAAGCTAAATTGTGATCACCATAGACATTGCAACAAGAAGAGCATCATCTCACACAGTCAGGAACATCTAACTTAGTGCATCAGGAGCATATCACCTTCATTTTAAAAAAGTCACGGGGCCAAAAAACACTCATGTTTTAAAACCAGTCAATATGCCATATGGGGAGCTCAGCAAGCAAAAGTTTACCTTCTGTGAAAACTTATCACAGTTGATTAGCTGAAGTTGGCGATAGTTGAGGATGGAGAAAAAATTTGCTGGATTTTACTGACATAAGTATAAACAAATAGCGCAAAAATTTGGGAAAAGTTATGAAAAACCAGGGAGGACACATTGAACCCTGTTAATCAATAACTGAGAAATGACTAAATAATTACCAAAATTATTTAACCATAAATTATACAACTGTTTCACTTTTATTTTTTGGACCCCCCCTGTATAATTTTATTTAGATGTCAGTGTCAGATAAATTTGTCTTTGAGCATGTATTCTTATTCGTTTATTGAGGCAGATTTTTATTCTTGGTTCCATAGTAGGCAGGAGAGTTAATATAGGCCTACTACAATTTCTTCTGCTGTCCTCTTTCAGCTAAGATTTGTTTCTGTTGTTTGTGCTGTTCACTGAAGAATGCATCTTGTCGACACGTTAGTTGTTTTGTTGAGTCCTTTTTTTCAGGATTTCCGGTATCTTGTTATACATATTTCTTTCTATCTAACCTGATTGCAGTCTCCCCCCCACCCTATCCCCCCATTAACAACTATAGCACAATGAGTTTTGTCTTTTAGGTTCAGCATGCTGCAACTTTTAAAATAACATAAAACCTGAAACTATGACATTTAGGGTTGTAGTCATTGAAAGGGTATCAAGCAAACTAAAGTTTAAAATATAAACTTTAAAAAATAATAATAATTAAACATCAATTATATTTTAAGACAGAGCCAATAAAAGTCATAAACACAGCCCAGTTGCAGGGAAATGGAGAGCAAGTTCTGTAGATACAGTGGTTCCATCATACCTGACAGGGCAATGGCCTAAAGATATAAATAATTACCATCATTATCAGTCAGATGGTGTCTTTATGTGTGACAAGTCAACTCAGGTATAAATGTTTTTTTACTTAGAAAGAAAAATGAATTTTTATTCTTATTGATATTTAAAGTTTTATTTTGTCTTTTAAGTGACATTTTTTTTTTAATGTGCAATACTGTCATTGCAATGAATCAATATATAACATGTTGCCTAAAAGATTGAGCCTTCAGAAATGTTCGTTTAAAATGATTATTTGCTTCTCTGTAACTATTAATTTAAAAATTGAAGTATTATTATTTAAACACAGACAGTTGCTGAATTGGAAGGAAAGCCTGAAAAAAGGAAAAAGGGACACAAAAGATCTGCCTCTTTTGGTCAAGGGGATCAGTTAAAAGTAAGGACTTGGATTTTGATAAACTCATGTGTATTATTTGCAAATAGTCATCTTTTTGAACATTATGAAGAAATTGTGTCATTTTGAAGATATAAGCTATAATTTATCCACTAGTGTGCTTGAGCCTGTCCAGTATGGGTGTACCAGTTTTTAAATTTTGCCTTTTTACCAAACTGGTTCGTAATCTTAAAATAATAAAACCGTATTTGTGTATCGCGGTATTGATGTTTTTTCTATAAACGAAATCTACCGAACCAGTTGGTACTTGATTGGAAGCATTCCACTGAATTTATCTGTAAATGTATTTCCATTCCGACAAAAGACAAGGGTGGTTTCAAAATATTTGTTATTACAGATTAAAGTTACATTACTGAGAACATAGCTAGAACATTTTTTTTCCCATTGCAAGGGATGATTCAAAATTATTATTATAGCTGTTGTTTTATAAACATAAATGTTGTGGCCTCCAAATGTTGCAGCCTTCTTTTTTTGTCTAGTATATCACAAACATTACGGCCTTCTTTCGTTGTCTTCACCAATGTTTACGAATGTGAACTAGTAGACACATTTACTGCTCGGCAGTTAGATAGACCCTACGTCTTCTAAGGCCTACGTCATCTAGGTCCTAGGGTGGCAACTATGTACTAAAATATGTTATTAGAAACAAATGCCTGTCACACCAGGTCCACTTTAAGGGGCCAAACATCAGCGTCCAATGAAGATAACAATAACAGTTCTTTATTTACAGGATCCAATCACAGCAAATGTCAATTCACAACCTTCAATGAAGATAATAATAACTCTCTTCTCTACTCTCTAACTACTCTCAGCTCATCTCTCCTCCGACTCATCGGCTCAACTCTTCACTATCCACACATCAGCTCATCTCTCACTAATGACTAACTAACACACTGCCCTTTTATATCCCCACACAAACACTCAGCGTACACTAAAGCTCAACACCAACCAACTCCATGCTCTGACCTCACGACTTACAACTCACAAAACATTCTCACAATCAACAACTCCCTTTACCAAACATTCACATCAATCCAGTTCACAACAATAAGTCCTGTATACTCATTCATAAGCCCATTCGTTGATAAGATGACATCCTAAGCGTTGGCTGGTATAAGCCTGAATAATGTGTTACCTACTTATAATATATGTTTGTGTTTATCAGTATATATGGTAACCATTCTGAAAATTTACAAAAATAGAACCTTGGCAATCTACAATAACAATTTCACAGCCAATCATGGCTGTGAAAAATGAGAACAAAATGTGTGACCCAATTTTGCACACTGGCTATTTTGCACACAGCATTATGTTGATTCCTATTAATTATTTTTTTTTCCAATGTTTTCTGTAATAGAATGAAGAGAAATGTAAATATACTTTAACCCGCTCCTAAGTCAACAACCTCACTCATTCTCGTAAAATTTTTACAAAAAAGTTTTCTTTTTAACACGAGTATATACAGCAAGCATTTTTTTTTAAATTTAATTATTTATGATGATTTTTGTTTTTTAATGTCAAGGAAATTTAAAATGGGTTACATAAAATTTTATTTCAAAGCTCCACTGGAGTTTTTAGTTCCTATAGCCTTAGCATTTGCTACAACTATAAATAAGTCGCAAGGAAGAGTTTTAGACAAGAATTTAGCCATGGAGAATAATATTTTGCACAGTATATAACGATAACGAGATTTGAAACATTGCATTTACACAATACCAGCTTAAAGTAATCTTCGACGCTCGTTTATCTTTATTAAAAATAAATTTGAGATAAGCCTTGTTTAATTTTTTATTGGTCATTAATTTTTTTTCAAAAAGATAAATGAACTGTGGACTGTCAATGAATTTAAATTAAATCTATAAAACTTGTAATAATTGTATTTATCGACTACTTTCCAGCTCCAGTTTATAAAACAGCATTTACAGAAATCTAAAGAAGGCAGCAAACACACTGATGGGAAGCTGCGGTCTAGTCCTATTCCTGGCAAACATTCAGCTCTATCACTTACAGCACCTCCAGCATTATGTTCTCAACACACCAAAGCTATCCTCATCTCAGCTGGACATATACCCAGACACAATATGAACCGATTTCAAAGAAACAGTGTAGAGGGCTTAAATATGGTTTGTAAAATATTAATTGTACCTTTCTCTTTATAGCCTTGTTTGGATTTAATATTTAGACAAGCCGTTCGCATTGAAAAAATTTTAATAAGGAAAATAAATGCCATTTTTTTAAATGTTTTTTTTTTTTCACAAATTTTTGCCCTAAGATATAAATTCATTTTAATACAAATGTATTTTTAAAAAATATGAAATAGTTTTGTATTCAAATTTACTTTCAGTGTGTACTGCTATAATTATTTGAAATTATTGAATCTTTAAGATATGTTAATGGTTGAGGGTCTAAATTGGTTTACAAACAAAAACTATCGACATAGAGAGAGTTTTTATTAATGTCAGCCATAGTTCCTCCTGCCATCTGTTTTGTAGGATTTTAGCTGATGCTGGGGTTTTTTTTTTACATTTACAGTAAAATATGGTGTGTCATTAATTATATCTTTTAAATCCATTTGCAAATGGATTTTTTGTTTTTATAAACTGACACATTTGTTGAAAATTTTGCATTTATTTTGTCCACACAACATACTTTTTTTGTGAAACCAGGAAAAATTACTTACTAAAAACATTGTTCAGAAAAACACTTATTTTGTTCATAAAGTGAACCTTATTTTTTTAACTTTAAACTAAGAGCTGTTACTCATAATTTCTTTATATGATATTGTGCCCTACAGTTTCATTGACATTTTTGGGAAATAATTAATTTTGCACAGGTTACTACTATTTGTACAATTAGTGCCTTGAGTGGGATTACAATTTAAATAACTACTTAGTATGGACTACACCTCCACATTTTGTGCCAGGCTTCTGCTGATCGTGTTAGGTTAAATAATTCTTGCTTAAATGATAATTTTATATAACTTTTATTTTTAGTTTGTGAAAATAAATTAAAGCTTACCCTGACGAATGATTTAAAAGATGTTGCACTCTCTTAGGAATAAAACTATGAGAATAACACTATAGTAGTATAGCACATGCAAGTGACGAAACGGTTGCTCATAACAATATTTTGCACACTGCAAATTATGATAATTTATAACACGCTTATACATGGCGGCCAGCGAAGTCACAAAATATTCCTTATTATTATTATTTTCTTAATAACTTTCGCCCCTGTACTATTATATTTTGGCCCACACAAGTTTTTCATAAAGTAATAAGGCCCACCTTAAATTTTGAGTTGTGCAGGCCCGATTTATAATATGGACTCTTTTGGGTTTTTAAACATCAAGTTAAAACATTCTTGTTTAAATGGCTTCTGAGGTCATTCAAAAACATAAGTTATCCAAATATTATGATGTTAATAGTGGTAATAATTGAATATTTCTCAAGTGTTGGCATCTTCCACCATTAAAAACGGGACATGATCACATCCAAGTGAAGCTGGGCAGAGCAATCTATTTAATATACCGTACGGCTCAAATGTAGAATCATTTTGTCTCTCGTAATAAACATAGCACTATAAAAATTGGCACACATTTAGATCAATATAAAACCGAGATATATAATAAAAATGAAAAGGGTATATATTAAACGTCAACTTAATCTTGATAAAAGATACCTTATATTAACCAAGGATTTTCACAAAGTCGACTGATTTTAAATGAAAAATATTTTACTGAATTTAAATGAAATAGAAATTGATTTTAATGTAGTCCAATATGTCCTTCAAAGCAAAAGGATTGAAACAGAACACAAGTGTGAGACAAAATAATTATTTTATAAATGAAATAGCACTATTGTAAAAAAAAATAATTAAAAACTTGGATTTTCCTACACTGACGCCCATTTTCCATAAACATTTTTTTAGTAGTCTCCCTTGCTTTACTGAAGAGCCTACTTTAAGTTGAGTCCCAGCTTTGTCTTTTAACATTGCTCAACTAACAAATATATCCAAGTATAAACCGTTGCTAAGAGTTGGTTATAAATAATAGCATCAATTTATAAAGGCTGGATTTCAATTAGTTGAAATAAATTTTTGTACTAAATATCAGAGCCTTATCATAAAGGATTACTGATTTGATTTTTTTTTTACCTTTTAGGAAATAGAGAAACTTGTATCGAGTGTTAAAGCTGTGAATCTATCAACGTGGGAAAGTGATGTCGATGATCATGTTTTCAGGGTAAGGGCTCCATAAGAATGTGATTTTAAATTTGCTTCTTATTTTGGTTATTATTGCTTGTTAACTTATCAGCATGATTTATGCTTATACATTGAAATCATGTTTTTGACTATTGTTACGTACCGTTATATGAAATCAGTTTTAAGATTTAGCTCATTAGATGAACAATATGTAACAGAGGACTGAAAACCAGTGTACAAAGAAAAACTATACCAAATCTAGTTATATTAACAATATTCATTTTAATTATAAAATTCAATTTATATAAAGAATACAAAATAAAATATACAGAAGTATCAACTATATTAACTTACAACACAGTAAGTTCAAAAGTATAATCCTCAAAAGATACAAATTTCAATACACACACACACACAAAGAGTAAAATCTAAGGCCCCTTAAATCTCGTAGGGGGGGGGGGGGTAATGGTAGAGCACTGCACATGTAATTTGTGACATCAGTATTAAAATAAAAAGGGGGAAATAAGTGCTGGACTCTACAGTGCTATTAAAGATACAAATTTCAATACACACACACACACAAAGAGTAAAATCTAAGGCCCCTTAAATCTCGTAGGGGGGGGGGGGTAATGGTAGAGCACTGCACATGTAATTTGTGACATCAGTATTAAAATAAAAAGGGGGAAATAAGTGCTGGACTCTACAGTGCTATGTTGAAGCAAACTTAAGTCAACATACAGGTTATAAAAACTAGATTTGGGGATCTGTTTTAATTACCTATTAACCCTATAACTGTCATAATGGCCAATCATGTGCCATTGAACCCCTTTCTGTGGTGTTCGCTAGATAATCAGCCACTAGCAAATTGTCATTAAAAATGTAAATAGTTTAAAGCCTATAGGTTATGGGGGAATCACTCTATTTAAATGAGTTTGCTTCCTTTTTACGTTTCTATCTATGTGTTATGTTTTTATTAGGGCTTTTATTGTGATTAATTGGGTGTAAAATTTGCTTTAAAAAAATCTTTTTACTGCCATTATGTCTGATGCTGGAAAGGGCCCCATCTAGATTGTAAAAATCAACAGAGCCTTTTTTTATTTTAATTATTTCAAATGGATTAAAATCAATGCAATGATTTCAGAGATAGTCCACTACCTACTAATGATAATATTAGCTCTAGCAGTGATGGGGACATAAGAGTCAGATATTGACAATTTTGGCCCTACGCGTTGTTGTTGAATTGTAACAAATTCTTTTAGGAAAGGGTGGAATTTGAACTGGAAATACAAAGATTGGATCCCATAGACTAAAGAGATTCAAATACATTTATGATTATGTAAGTGTAAGTTCCGGAGATTTGATTAATAAAAATAATGGATGTAGTAATTTCATTTAAAAAATAATTTTTTATATCATTACATGTCTTGATTAGTTCATGGTCAATTCTGTATTTCTTTCCATGTACTAAAACATCCACCTCTTATATAAATATATCTGGCAGAGAAATATCCTCAGGCAACAAGCCCAACAGCGAATCTAACATAAATATTTTCTCTCTCTGCTTAACTCTTGACTACTATAAAGATCTACTCGGGACTCTCACAACTGTCGACGATCTCACTTCTCGAACCCTCCAACTAACTAATACACTGCCCTCACATATCCCAGCCAAAACACTCAGCATACCTTAAAGCTCAACACCACGAACCAACTTTAAGCTCTGACCTCACGATCAACAACTCACAAAAACACTCACGATCAACAACTCCCCTTACCAAACATTCACAACAATCTAGTTCACAACATTCCTCCCCCCTTTCGCTGACATCACTTGCTGCGGTAGTGATGTCACACACACAAATGACATCATAAAATTGCAATAGACAAGTATAAACATCAGCCTTATTACTTCAATCTAAGATCAAGTGCCAAATGTAAACAATCTAGTTCACAACACCTTCCCCCTTGTATTTTGTATGAAATAAATTTGAAGGTAATGAATGAAAAAAAATTCACCAATATTACAATTTTCAATATAAGTACCTGTAACCTGACATTTTCTGAAAGAATATTGCTTCTAGTATCTCAAAAATTTGATTTTATGATAGTTTGAAAAATTTATGGAGTAATAGATTCAGAAGTTGAGTTGTAAAATTTTACTGTCTCTGTAAATTCAAAATCAACGTACATAATATAATCGCAAATTCTTTTTATACCATAACATACCTATTCCAGTGTACTATCAGAAAATGTATACTTGTAAGGGCATCTGAATTCATTTATTATGGGATTTTGTGATATTTTGACAAGCTTATGAGTATGCTAAAAATGGCTTGACACTACAGAAAAATGCACTTGACAGTTATAGGGTTAAATAGTTGAGTTGATTTCTTAGTTTACGAGTAGAACCAAAGGGATTTTGTTGATATAGAGGGCAACCTTAAAATTTTTTCCAAGCCATTTTTCTAACACTTTAAAAAATAAGGTGGGGGCTTATCAGTACCAGTAGTTAGTAAAGATTAAGCCAGGTAAAACATCCCACACACTGTAAAGCTTTACAGGCATCAAATGACAGACCTTGTGAAAATAGTTCACCATTTCAAGTAGATATTTCCCTCTCAGTGGTAACACGAATATCCTTAACTGATAGCTCATTTATATTAAACATCTAGGAAATTCCTGATGGACACAGAGCACCTGTACCAGAAATCACTCGGCCCAGTTCAACACGTAGCATAGATACTCAGACCCCTTCAGGTCAACTTGATCATCTTCTAACCCCCTACACAATAACAGTTAGCCGACCTGCATCAATCAGTCCTGTAACTCCTTCCAGACCTAAAAGTGTTGATGGTCAGAATCCACCCAGAAGCAGATCGGACTCCACAGAGAGCAAATCAAGTAAAGGTAATATCTGGTAATAGTAGTAGTCCAGGGATTACCTAGCTTTTCTTATCTCGGCAGCACACTGGCCCAAAGCGCAACCATCAATGACAAGTTCAACCCCTGTATTGACAGAGCCAGTGCGACCTATGGAAAATTGACTAAGAACCTGTGGACCAGGAGAGGTATCACCAATCAAACTAAACTGAAAGTACACTAGGCGGCTGTTATCCCTACGCTTCACTATACCTATGAAATGTGGACAGTATACCAATGCTATGCAAGAATGCTTAACCACTTTCATACAACAAGACTCAGAAAAATACTCAACATTAAATGTCAGGAAGTAGTCCCAGACACTGAATTGCTTATACAGGCAGGTCTCCCCAGTATCTTTACCATCTTAATAAAGTCCCAGCTTCGCTGGTTGGGACATGTTATGAGAATGTCAGATGACCGTCTGCCCAAAAGAATTTTCTACGGTGAGCTCGAAAAAGGAAAGCGGTTTGCTGGCGGACAGAAGATACTTTTTAAAGACAACCTAAAAGCCTCACTGAAAGCATTCAACTTAAACCCAGACACGAAGGTAAAAGCCAATGATCAAACATCATGGCGTTCCACTTTACACAGGAGCTCCATGCAACATGAAGTTGGCAGAACAGCCACTGCAGAGCCCAAGAGACATGCCAGGAAGGCCCGGTCTGACTCTGCTCCCGGAGATGCCCCATTATTCCCCTGCACCTACTGCACAAGAAAATTTCATGTTAATTTTCATTTTTTTTAAAATCAAACGTTTTCATTACACAATTTATTTTAGGGAGCATGAAGTTTAATTCTCAATAATAAGATAAGATAAGATTGTTATATTGATCCAAGTAAATGGAAATGCTTTTTTTATTACACTGTACTTGTACATATTTAACCAAGACAACATTTTACAATAGAAAAATTTAAACAATAGACATCTGAAGTATTTCTCTAGCGTAAAAATCAGCTATTACCATAAAACTTAACTCCCTTAGTGATAATAAAGACTTAATTAGTGATCAGTTAGATTTGATTACTGCTGGGGGGAGCACACTGGTAAATTCTTTTAGACTGGGAAACAAAAGAATTTTTATATCTTTTGGTCCTAACTTTAAGGAAATCAATTTGCCCTGATCCAGCTGATCTTAGGTATCTGTGATGGAGAGGGTGGAAAGTTTCATTTAAATAGTTCTTCAAGTGAAGGATGCTTAGCTTATGCAATATTACTTGCTTTCATAATTAGCTATTTAATCTGTAGTTGATGTCGGATGATGAAATCCCTCTCCATAAAGTAATACTGAAGTTTAGTAGGCTTCCCATTGTTGCTGTAGAGTAAGTTAATAACTTGCTTGTTTATGCCAAAATTGTATAGTTTTTTAAGAAGAAAAAAAGTCTTTGGTTTACTTTATTAAACAGCATCAGGCTGTTTTCACGACATGTCAGCTTATTAATGGTGACAACTACTATGTACTGGGTACTTATATGTCTCTACTTGTTTTAACTGTGATTTTTTTTTTTTTTATTGTGAGATCTGCAATGGGGTGATTTCCCCTCCTGAAATCGAAAAACATTGCTTTAGTTTTTGAGACATTCCACTGAAGAAAATTTTCATAGAACTAACTGATAAAACTTGTAACAAAGTTGCAGTATAAGCTTTCAGATATTAAGCCAAGGATGGTGGCATCGTCAGCAAATTTTATGATTGGAAAGGTGTTGCTTGGGTTCTGGATATCAGGGATTGAATGCAATCTTCTGGTGCGTGCCCCTGTGCTTACTTCTCTAGTTAATGATATTTGTTTATTCACCTTGACGTTCTGTGGGCGATTTGTTAAAAAGTTCACTATCCACGCTTGAATATTTGAATGTACATCTTATGAAGAAAGCTTTTTAATCATAAGGTGTGGTTGGATAGTGTTACATGTTGATGCTGTCTAAGAAAAGCACTCTTAGCATATTTGTGGGGTCAGGTTTTTGCTGTACTTCATTTAAAATTTGTCTGAGGATAAGTTTCTCCAAACATTTCATTACAATATAGGGAAATGGGAGACGGCATAAGTCTGTACCGCAAGGGCCTTCATTTTTCTTTGGAATTGGTATAATTGTCTGAAGTTTCCCCATACCTTTGCTATCGTATGAGTTTCATACTTGGGGTTTAACCTAGTATTTATACAACAGGGTGGTACTTATTTTTCTTTGGAATTAGTATGATTTCTTTAGTTTCCCTGTAACTTTGGTATCGTAAGAGTTTCACTTAGTGTTAAAATTAGTATTTATACAACAGGGTGGTACTCAAAGTTTATGTCATTTGTTATTTCTTTATTTGTATCAAGCATCTTTCATTTTGTGAAACCTGGTACAATTCTATTGCTGCTGTAAATGCCCGTTTACGCACATATTGTGTATCAATTAAAATATTTTTAACACATTTTTGGGGTATAATTAAATTTCAATTTATTTTGCCATGCTTCTTTCCAAGAAAATAAATCATGAAACTTATCTCTTCATAGAAAATTCACCAGAACCCAATGCCTACCTGTCAAGCCCCAAACTGGAGGCATCTTGTCCATTTGTCCGTGAGCCACCTGATGGTTGTGAAAAGATTACAGTTGTGGAAGAATCCAGGTGACATAAATTGCTGAAAATATATTTGTTTTTTTTGTTTTTGTTTTTTTTTTACTTATCGTCATAATGTTTAAGATTTTTAAAAATTCACCCAACTCTATACTTTTTAAAAATTCAAATAACAGCTGCACGCTTCTATCTCAACTGCAATTCAATAAAATTTCTTATTTATGCTAAATAAGTGGGGTTTTTTTTAAATTAAATTTACATTTTTATGAGTTGAAGACATTAATTGTCATTTATTATTTAATATTGGCATACATTTGTTTTAAAATCTTTAAGGTTTAGATTGTTACTTTAGTTTTAATACAACTGTGTATTTAGAAAGAAATGACCACAGCATATTTAAGAAGAATATAATAATGATATTGAAAATCTCATTATTGAAACTAAAATGGTCCATATATTTTGCCTTTTCAGGAGGCCTTTAATCAAGGAGCCCATGCTGTTTTCTCCAGTTAAACCCAATCAGTTTGTATTCAAACAAAGTCAAGGCTCTGCCTTCTGTCCTCTTATCAAAAGGTATCATGAATTCACCCTAAATTATGGTGTACCCTCACCTCCAGTTCTTTCAGGGATTGATGGTTGAGAGAAAATAAAACTATTTCTTACATTGTAATTTTAAATTGGACTCAGTGTAAAGATATTTACGTTTTAAAATTTCTTTACATTATTGAAGTACCTTGATCAATGTAGAATGAAATTGAAAATCTTTTCTTTTTTTTTTTTTAATGAAAATCTTGTTTATACTATAAAAAATTGAATTGTTAAAAATCTCTTCAATAAGTTTAAAATGCATGTAAATTTGATTTTTTTAAAATAGTCCCATAATGTATTTTGACATATTTTCCTTGACATACCATAAAAACAAAGTGTCAACTTTGCTTGTGATGCATGGCATTTTATTTTGTGTACAGTTTCACAATGTTACAAGCACATTCGCTGATATAGATCTTTTTATTTGTCTGTGCCTGTCAATTCAAACACTGGAATCTCTATTATTTATTTCTGGTAACAAAAGCAATTGTTAGCATTTTGGTTTTTTCATTTGGAGGTTATAATATATTTTCTCAAGTTTTGTCTGTTTGTTATGATGTTCAACATAATGGGGTTTTTTTTTTAAATAATAATTTTCTAGTTGTTTTAAAAAGCAGTATGATTATATTCACAAATTTCAGGCTGCCTGAGTATTTTTGTGAAGGATAAAATAAATAAAATTTATAATTAGACTAGTCTTGAACTGATATAGGATAGGCACTTCCTTTTTAAAAAAGTAGTATTAAGGATAATGTCAGTGAATCAATTTAAGTATGAGTGGAGTTTTTTATTTACCTTTAAATGCACTTATAAAACTTATAATAGATTCTAAATTCATTTGTGTTTAAGAATCTTAAATGAAACAAAGCCTCGCAACAAAGTTTTGGTTACCTTTGACAAATACTTCTTAATAAAAGAAGACCTAGCTGTGTTTCAATATTTATCTATCTCTCTGTGATTATATACTTGAAAAATGTCCTATATTCTGATATTTGTAGTTTTGTAATGGTCCTCCACTAGATAAATGGCTGCTTGTTTTATTATGGCAGCAATTTCTTCATTTTTTTTAATGAATTGTTTGACCCTTTTATTCTACTATTTTGTTTCTTGTAGCCTAAAGTGGTGAGCCAGGTCATTAGCTGATTCTAATTAAAACAATACTTTTGTTATTGCTGTTATTTACTTAGTCATGTTTCAGTTTGAACACTGTATTTTTTTTTTTAATAGGACATAAAGACATAATAAATGGTTGTCCAGTAATCTGGCTGCTAGGGCATGCTGAGAATACCAATTTAATATATATATATTTATTTCTTATACTTATACATTCTCTTTTTAAAATAGAAACGGTAAAGATTCCTTCCTGGAAACATGAAATGTTAATTTTCAATATTTTAAGGTAAATAAATAAATAACTTGGGAAACTAATTTTCAATATTATTGGTAGGATTGATTAGCATCATATCTGCAGTTAAAAAAATGAAAAAGTGATGAGAGTTGAGACTGTACAGAAGAATGTTTCTGTGTTCTATCAGGACAGAAATATTATTGTTGTAATATTGAAAACTGATTTACAGACTCCTTTAAGATCAAATTGAGAAGTTCAGCTGTAATTACTAACATTTATAACTAGATATGTTGTTTTTATTTTAGCAATATAAATGAGCAATATACATCTAGATTTTATTTATATCTAATGCATTCTGGGTGATGTATAAAGACATTAGCAAAGACTGTCCCTCAATCATACTGATAAAAAGCTTTAATTTCCCAGTAATAAGAACACATGATTGAAGAAGATCAAATCTGAGTCAAGTGATTATTCATTGACAACAGCCCATGTGAAGTACAAATTTCAAATACTATGTTATACTACCAGGATAACTTTTCCATGTACGATAGTCTTATACATGTGTAGAGAACATAAGAAAAATCTTTGTTGGCATAATTCATTGCACTCTTTAAGACCTATGTTGTATTGCCTGTGTTCTTATGAGGTGAACAGAAACATGAGTGACAAGGAGTTTTAGTGAAACTAAGTCAGCTGACTTGAGTAATAAGTCATTTTATTTTATAGCGTCATGCATGTCCTATCAATACTTTTTTTTTTTTTTTTAAACATGCATTGTCAATGTTTTATACAGAATTATTTTACCTATAACTCTTTCCAGTTCTTTCATTATTATGAGGTGAAAAGAAACATGAGTGAAAAGGAGTTTTAGTGAAACTAAGTCAGTTGACTTGAGTAATAAGTCATTTTTTTTTATAGCGTTATGCATGTCCTATCAATACTTTTTTTTTTTTTTTAAACATGCATTGTCAATGTTTTATACAGAATTATATTACCTATAACTCTTTCCAGTTCTTTCATTACTTGTGGGACCCAACCACAAATGACCGTCCATTGAGCTTGTCTATGATCCTTGTTGAAAGTAACCAGAATTATTCTTTTTGCTATTTGGCCCCTGTAGTAAGTAAGACAATTTGAATGTACATATAATTGATAGAGTTATTTAGGCGTTCAATTTTTAGAATAGGGAATATTGTTAAAGAGGTGCAATGGTGCAGTGGTTCCCAACCTGTGGCATAATAGAGCCACAACGAATAACTTAAATGTAAATAATATAAAAATAATTGCATTTGTGTTCACAAGAATATCCACATTTCAAAAGGTTTTGCTTTATCTGAGTAAAGGTTTTTAAAGAAGTAAAAATATAGCAGGCTAAAGACCATTGTCTAAATGGTTACAATTTTTCCTTCATTGATCAGCTTGTTGTATTAGCAGAATCAGTTGTCCGCTCCCTAATTGAAATCTCTCTATGCCTGATGGGTTGAGAACCACAGATAGATGACACTTCTCCGGTGTAGAATTATTGGCCATTTCTAATGGTTTGAACATGTTGACATAATGTAACAGGGGCCACTATTTATTGTACTGGTTTCTTTGATCAAGCAGATCTCCATCAGGGAATGGGGCTTGCCTCCCCTAAAGACAAACTGTAATAATGATATGTGCAAGAGAATCTTGTTTCTAATAATTTCATGGTTGGTATTTATTGATAAACTGTTCTTTGAATGGCAACATTTCATGATGCACTGTCATTTGGATGTTTCACTTGTTACTTTAATGCTGATATACATAGTATATAATGGAGAGGGGGGGGGGGGGTAAATAAATCCAATCTTTTCAATGTGGTCCACAATCATCCCAATAGTGAATAGGTACAAATGATTTTTCAGACAAATAAAATCCATAATGACTGTGAAGTAACTTTTGTTTGCTTAGAAATAATTTGATACAACTTTACACAAAGTATACATTTGTTGCTTTTGTGGGCTTTATTTCCTATAAAAATATTTGCAAAGATTTTACTCATGTGGTATGGGGAAAAATAATTGAAATAAATTCCAAAGATGCTCCACAAAAAGTTGTGTTGCATAGAGTCTGACGATAATGATTGTAATTAAAAGTATAGAAAACTATACAAGTTATATGCACTTAATGTAAATGTGTTTTCAAACTCTGTCCACTTTGTTCCATATATTGTATTATTTGAGGTAAAACCACTTGTTATGTTCTTCATGTACATAGAAGAGAAAGACTGTCTTTAAAAATTGTTGATTTCCAGGAGTGATCATAAATTAAAAAGCAGTCCAACCAATTTCGGAAACTATTCATACTAGTACTGCACCTCCCACAAATAATAAAACATCTTTACCCGATTCTAAAAATAATCCTTGCAGGACCGTTCTGTGTTGACTGATACAGCAACAAGATTAAATGAGTCGTTGAATCTGTTGCTTGGTATGCACCACAAGCATTTGCCAGCTATCATAGTGGTTATAACTAAGAGAACAGATGACTATCTTAGTACACCTACCTATGGTACCACATTGGAGCGAAAAATTCATGAAACAATTGACTCACCAAGTTTTGTTTGATTGAATTTTGTTACTGCATGTTATCTTATGGTTAGGATAGGATATTAAATGGGACCAAGACCCACTGCATGTTATCTTAGGGTTAGGATAGGATATTAAATGGGACCAAGACCCACTGCATGTTATCTTAGGGTTAGGATAGGACATTAAATGGGACCAAGACCCACTGCATGTTATCTTAGGGTTAGGATAGGACATTAAATGGGACCAAGACCCACTGTATGTTATCTTAGGGTTAGGATAGGACATTAAATGGGACCAAGACCCACTGCATGTTATCTTAGGGTTAGGATAGGACATTAAATGGGACCAAGACCCAACACTGAGGAAACATTCTTTTACCATTTTTATTTTTATTTTTTTTTTAAATTATGTATGCTGATTCCTTGTTGTGCTCTAAGGAAGACAAAGACCTCTCCTTTCCTCCCCCCCCCCCCCCCCGAGCATAGGTTGTCCCACCCATCACCATGAGAAAGCTCATCATTGCTTTAAGTGACAGCCATCAGTTACAAATATAGAATTCGCAAGCATTATCCTCTGATTTAAATTAACACAAAATATTGAGCTGCCAACTCCACTGAGAGTCTCAATTAAGTCCATGTTACAACTTAACAGGTTTCTACAACAATCCTGAAGATTATTCTCTCATAAGATGACAATGAAATGTTTGAAGATGAAAAGATAATGGGGACAATGATCCCGTCAGACAAAGTGATGAAAGAGTTGAGGATAGTAATGGAGAAAGACATTCCATGCTTATTTTCTCCACATCTATTTTTACATCTTCCTAGAGATATTTTGACCAATACCTATAAAGTATCAAATTTGTTACATATTGTTCAACATTGGTTGGTTGAAACTAGTTAAATAAAAATACATTGTTGAAATACACATGTGTCAGTGTTTGTTGTGGATTTCTTCATGATACCCATTAAAAATTGATGAATTCATAATTGATTGAGATTGTCATTGATATTTTTAAATTGATATGATAAATTCATAATTGATTGAGATTGTCATTGATATTTTTAAATTGATATGATAAATTCATAATTGATTGAGATTGTCATTGATATTTTTAAATTGATATGATAAATTCATAATTGATTGAGATTGTCATTGATATTTTTAAATTGATATGATAAATTCATAA